TGGACTGTATCAGTTTAAAGTCATGCCATTTGGTATGAAAAATGCATCAGCCATATTTCAAAGACTAACCAGTCAAGTCATTTTGGGATTATCCAATTGTGTGGTGTACATCGATCACCTGGTGATTTTTAGTGACACTTGGAAGTAACATTTGGAGCATCTATCAGAATTGTTTGATTGACTTCAGGAGGTGGTCTTGGTGATAAACCTGGCTAAGAGTGAGTTCACAAAAGCCCAACTCACATTCCTGGGCCATGTCTTTGGACATGGATAAATGGCCGCACTGTATGTGAAAACAAAGATTATTGGGGAGCTTCCCATACCATCAACAAAGAGGGAAATACTATGATTCCTGGGACTGCATGGTTTGTATCAGAAGATTGAACTGAATTTTAGCAGTGTGGTTGCTCCACTGACTGACTTATTGAAGAAGTGCAGAAAATTTCAGTAGATGGAGGACTGTCAGAAGGCATTTGAAAGCTTGAAAGCTGTGTTAACCAATGCCCCAGTGTTAGCCTCGCCTAATTACGCACAGCCATTCAAAGTGGCTATCGATGTGAGTGATGTGGGTGTCGGTGCTGTACTCTTCCTAGAAGATGTCGAGAAGACAGAAAGATCTAATGGGTGTTTTTCCAGAAAATGGAATAATCATCAACAGAAATATTCCATGACTGAGAAAGATTCTTTGAGTTTGGTGTTGACGTTGCAACATTTCAACATTTATATTGCTAGTAATGTGTCTAAAACAATTTTACATATATTGATAATAACCCCTTAAAGTTTTTGGAAAAAATGTAAGGATAAAAATTCCAGACATTTTAGATGGAGCTTATTATTGCAGCCATCCAATTTGAAAAATTATACGTGTGGCAGGATGAAAGAACGTAATTGCTGGTGAGTTGTTATGACTTTGAAGGAAGATGGAGGCGTTTGGTGGTGGCAGTAAATGGACTGAAACAGTCGTAATGAATGTTTGCATGCTTAGAGTCAACGTAAGGCATGTGTACTGTAGTGTATTAATAGTGTAAGGCTAAAGATTTTTAAAAATGAAGCCACCTTCATATATTAATGGGTTTTTTTAAGGGGTAAAGTGTGATGATACTATGGCTTTAAGAGGTGCATTTTGTCCTGGCTTTTTTAATGAAGAAAGATTGAGACAGAGGTATTGAGCCGTCTGCTCAAAGCCAATAAAGTACGCAGTTTGCGAGGCCTTGGGCTTTTTTAAAAGTTGGAACAATAGAAGAATCCTAAATGGGTGGGTCAAGCTCCCACTGAACCAGGATTTTTAGCTTTAGCTTTCTGCAGTTGCTGAGAGATTAAAGCCAAATGTGGCAGCTCTTATGCCCCTCTCTGTTACAGCTAAAAGCTGGGATTCTCTTCCTGCTGCTCGAATTGCATGTGAGACAATCTCTTTTACTGAATTTGCCTTTGCCAAGGGTGTGTTTATGGGAGGTTAATATATTGGAACAGTTGATTAGTAGTACTTAATATATATGTTACTTTGTTAAACATTTCAGTAGAGTTACAGTTAAGCCAATTCCTCGCTTTTATTTTTATTTTGTCTGTATTTTAAACTGTAGTATAAAAATAAAGTGTGATTTGCTTGATGTCGTGTTTGACCAAGTGATTTGCATCTGGAATGCAATGCCTTACACTTACCTTTATAATTAGAAAAAGTTGAGGTTTAGACAATCTTCTTAATATATTTTGAAGTTTATAACAGATCCTTGACCTCATTCAAGCCCTGAATTCAAGACTCACTGTCAATAGGCTCTATCTCTGTCAGTTCACTAATTACGGATTTATCCTGATTCCATGGGATTCCAGGATTACAGGGTAAACGTATTTCATTGAGTGTTTAGCTATCATTAAAACATAAGCTAATAAAACATAGGAGCAGGAGCAAGCCAATCAGCCCCCCGAGCCTGCTTCAGCATTCATAATGATCATGCTGTCCAGATTGTGGCCTTAACTGGATTTTCCTGTCTACCTCTCCATAACCTTCGACCCCTTCGTCAATCAAAAATCTGTCTAACTCAGCCGTGAATTTATTCAATGACCCAGTCTTCACTGTTTTCAGGGAAAGAAAATTCCAAGGATTCACAGCCCTCTTAAATTGTAGACCCCTTATTCTGAAACTTTATTCCCTTGCTTCTGATTTTCCAACAAGGCAAATATCCAATCATATCTACCCTGTCAAGTCCTTAAAAATCCTACATCTTTCAATGAGATCATCTCTTGTTCTTCTGAACTCCATTGAGCATAGGTTCAACCTGCCCAATCATTCCCCTAAGAAAACACTGTTGTATAAGGTCATAGTTCTGAAAGAGTTAATGCTGAAATTGTTCCACCCAGTCTAATGATATCACGTAGACTTTGGTGAAGGAAATGGAATCCTAGACTGGACTCTCTAGGGAACAGACATATTCTGTACAACGCCAGAAAGTCCATAGTAACCATACCTGACTAGTAATTTAAATTACTTGAGGAGGGATGTAGTTGTATTGGAGACAGTTCAGAGAAGGTTTTCTGATTGATTCCAGAGATGAGGGGATTGCCTTAGGAAGAGAGATTGAGCAGTGCAGGACTATCCTGTATAGAGTTTAGAAGAGGAGCAGCACCATGGCACAGTGGCACAGTGGTTAGCACTGCTGCCTCACAGCACCAGGGACCCGGGTTTGATTCCAGCCTTGGGCCACTGTCTGTGTGGAGTTTGCACGTTCTCCCTGTGTCTGTGTGGGTTTCTTCCGGGTGCTCCGGTTTCCTCCCACAGTCCAAAGATGTGCAGGTTAGGTGGATTGGCCATGCTAAATTACCCATAGTGTTCAGGGAGGTGTAGATTAGGTGGGTTATAGGGGGATGGGTCTGGGTGGGATGCTCTGAAGTTCAGTGTGGACTTGTTGGGCCGAAGGGCCTGTTTCCACACTGTAGGGATTCTATGAAAGGGGATCGATTTGAGGTGATTTATGATGCTAAAGGAGATGGACAAAATAATGTTGAGACGATGTTTCTCTTGTGGGGCAATATAGAATGAGAGGTCACAGTTTTATGATGAGGGTTAGTAAATTTAAAACCAAGGAGGAGAAATTACTTCTCTTAGAGGGTCATTCATCTGGGAAATTCGCTAACCCAGAGTGTGGTGTGTGCTGGGACATTGACTAAATCTAAGGAGGAGACGGACAGTTTTTATTTAGTTGGGGGTTGAAGCGTTATGGGGAGCGGGCAGGAAACTGGAGTTGAGGCCAAGATGAGATCGGTCATGATCGAATTAAATGGCAAAACAGGCTCGGGGCTGAATTGCTTACTCCTGCTCCTAGTTCTTACATTCTTACGTCCTTATACTCAATGCAATAAATGAAGACATCTGCCTCTTCTGTGTAGACTCTACAGTGGTCAATCCTCTACCACTAATAATTAGATAGGCCCAAGGCACAATATACACAAAGTGGTATTGGTTGCAACAAACTTCCTCATCCACCCCCAGCCCAGTATCACATACTGACAGTGAGGCAAATACCATCAATATCTTCTTTCCAGAATTCAGTGATTACTTTCTGAACTGCCTTCAATCCCTCCTTAAATAAGGAGACCAAAACTATATGCAGTGCTCTATTGTGGTCTCACTAATGCCTTGCACTTTTGTAACCAGGCATCCTTTCTTTTAGGCTTCAGACCCCTTGCAACAAGGTCTAATATTCTATGTGTTTTGCCGTGCCTGTGGGGTGATGGTTCTGTATGGAGACACCCGGATCCCACTGTGCTGCCACATCCTGCAATCTCACCCCATTTAAATAATATTCAGTTTTTCTGAACTCCCCTTGCAGTCGCCCACGTCAAAGCACCTCTGCTATACATGAGCCCTCACAGTCAGTGTGTAGCCTTTCCTGCTGATACAGGCTGATGTGCAGACAATCAGCAATTAGTGAGTCATCCTGCACCTTTCAGAGAATTGCACTGTCCTCACGTGGTATAACAGGAAACAGTGTGCGTATTTTTGGAAGTGATAATCTCTCCTTTGCAGCTGGGAAGCAGAATTGCGGCACCTTTTACTATGATAGGCTAACCAGAAAACTGGGTTGCTGCTGTATGATTTCATTGAAGAGGGTGGGGGAGCTGGTTACATCACGGGGTTGCACCGTGTTTCGCATTTCCTGTGCTCCCGAGTTACTCCGGCAGCCTGAAGCTCTCCGTGCTGCCTGGCACGGTCATCCCCACTGGAAGACCTAGCCTCCGACCGCCATGGATCCAGCCGGCAAATTCCACGGGGCCGCAGCCCGCGAAGGAGCAGGGGGTGGATCCCTGGAAATTTTCCAGCCCTCCCGTCCCCCTTTGCAGAAAGGGAAGAGCGCGCATTGATGTGGCACCTTCTGCGCGTGCGGGAATGTCCCTGAAACATTGTGTAGCCACTTTTTGTTTGGACCGTGTTGCGATTCTTGAAAATACATGGCGGCCAAATTGAGCACAGCGCGATCCCATAAACAGCCATGTTTGGCAGTACAGCATGCACACTTGCACCCCTCTCCCCCTACCAGACGCCCACACCCCACTATTGGTCTGGGGGTTGGCATCATGTGCCTGAGCCTTAGAGTGGGACTTAGACAGCTCCAGTGCTCCAACTCAGATGCGAGAGTGTATTGCAAGAACCTCGGCTTAGCTCCTAGCCAGTGTAATGTTGGAATCCCAACCCTTGGAGGTATCCCAGAAGGCAATGATTGCCCTTCCTGCCCTGCCAAATCCACCTGGGGGTGGGGGCAGTGGGAACCACAGGGCCTGCCAAAATAGGCGGAGCTGACGAGGAAATTCTCTCATTTTCCAGCCTCAGTTCAGCCGTATTGTTTACGGTAAAAATGACGAAAAGCTCACAAGGAAAACGAGGTGTCAGGCATTGTAGTTTCTGCGGCCTGTTGACAGCTATCAAGTGCCCTGCAGCTTTAGATAGCAAGTACTCAACTCGATGCATGTTTGCAGGAAAAGGGGGCGGGTGGTGTTGCAAAAGAGGGGGGTGGGGGGTGGTGGTTGGTGGGCGGAGGAGGAGAGGGTAGACTGTAAAAAGGCAAGGCGATGGGAAGGAAGAAACTGCACAGGATGCCACAAGGGAAAACAGCAGAGGAATTCAGTCCAGTTTAGTTTTGTTTAAAAGAGACAACGAAAATAGAGCACAAATTCTGAAGGGGACTGGGGACACCGACAGGAGAAATGAGCGCACAGTGGATTGTGAGCTTCCCACTCACTCTGACATTACTTGTGCTGACAGCTTGCTTGCCTGGAAATTTACTTCGGGGTGAGGTAAGTCAGAATTTCACTTCCAACCAGAGGTTGCTTGTAGATTACTCAGTAAAAAACGTTACACCCAGGAGCTCCCAGTTAAGATGTCAAGTTCAACAATGCCACAAACTGACCAACAGCTGAAAGAGGACTGAACACAGGCAATGTCCATTTTAAAAGACAATTGGCTAAAAGTTCTGGTGGAGACAGATGTGGGGGCATTTTTATTCTATGGTCCAGAATGCACTGCCTTAAGGGCAGTGGAAGCAGATTCATTAATAACCAATAAGTGGAAAATTAGCTCTGTCGTTGGAAAGGAAATGTTTGCAGGGCTATAGGGAAAGTGTGAAACTACATGAATAGTTCTTTCATAAGAGCCAGCACACGTGCTATGGGTTGAATGGCCTCCTATTGCACTGTAACACTCTGCAATGTCAATATTCTTGTCATTAGGTCCACATTGCACTGTGTTATAATTGTGCATTTTCCAAGACATTGTTTGAATTGTAATTGTTCTGTCTCAAGTGGATCAAAGTTAGTTGAATCTAATAATTTTTTGTCGCTTTCTAAATACTTTGGACAAATCCTTGATTTGCATTGTGTACCTCACTGCGGTGTGTGAATGTGAGTGTCTCTGTGTGTATGTGCGTCTGTCTGTGTGTGCATTTCTATCCATGTGTGTGTGCATGTGTGTTTGTGTATGTCTGTCGATCTATCTGTGTGTGTGTCTGTCTGTGTGTGGGTCTATGTGTGCATGTCTGTTTATATGTGTCTGTATGTCTGTCAATGTGTGCATGTATGTGTGTGTGTGAATGTCTGCCTGTCTGTGTGTGCATACCTGTCCTTGTATATGTGTGTGTGTGTGTGTGTGTGTGTATCTGTTGTATGTGTCTGTGTGTGCTACACAACTAATCACCAATTCATGCTCTGAGACCCAAAGATTAAATCAGATTAATGATAATGCTCACAGTCTACACCTCTCTATAACTTCAGCCTGGAGCAAGTCACTGTGACCGGAGAACTCTCATCACGAGCAAGACTCAATGTCGCTCCTGCACCTTGAACAAGAGGATCCAATGTCCAAACGGTTACACTAAGGTTACGAATAATACTGGTACCAAGGACTGCAGGTACAGTACCATAGAGAAATAGAGTGTGTAAAATTCAGATGCAAACATTTGCAGTTCATTTTTGCGTTTCTTGTATAATTACGTGGGCTGCGATGTTTCTTTTCTTAAAATTCTGTGCAAGGTTTTACATTCCACTCCGGATTTACTCCTTGGCTGTGTCTGGCTGTCGTCACACGTGTGTGAAGGAGGTTGTAGATGTTGAGTGCTGTGCTGGTTATTGGGGACCTGATTGTATGGGTAAGAAGCTGTTCATCACTGGCTCACCAGATTTTATTATACAAAGTCAATATCCCAATGATTTAACAATGGCTCCCTCTGTCCTCCTTTGAGTGATAATAAAAGGGCAAAGTTGGGGATTTCACTGCCTGAAGGTGTCAGCTCTGGCTCAATAGGTAAGACTCTCCTCCTTTGTATTCAGGCCCCTCAGCATAGACTTAGACACAACAGTCAATGCTACATTTCAGTGCAGTACTGGAGGAGCGCTGCAAAACCAGGGGTGCTGTCTTTCCCATGAGACATTAAACCAGGCTCCATCTGTTTTCTCAGGTGGATAGAAATTATCCAATGGCATTCTTTCAAAGAAAGGATGAGGGTTCCCCTGGCGTCTTGGTTAATGTTTATCTTTTTCCACAACAACTTGCATTAAGGTGGCCTTTAACTTGTTACCTAACAATATATTATCCTGTCATTGTCATTTTCTTTATTTGTTCAAGGGATGTGGGCATCGCTGGCTGGCTGGGCCAGCATTCATCACCCGTCCCTAGTTGCCCTTGAGAAGGTGGTGGTGAGCTGCCTTCTTGAACCGCTGCAGTCCTCCTGCTGTGGTTGACCCACAATGCTTTAGGGAGGGAATTCCAGAATTTTGACCCAGCGACAGTGAAGGAACGGCGATATAGTTTGAAGTCAGGATTGTGAGTAGCTTGGAGGGGAACTTGCAAGGGGTGGTGTTCCCATGTATATGCTGCCCTTGTCCTTCTAGATGAAAGTGGTCGTGGGTTTGGAAGGTGCTGTCTGAGGATCTTCGGTGAATTTCATTCATGCACCTGATTGTGGGAGCTTGCTGTGCACAAATTGAGTGATGCACTTTGCAACTCACAGCAGTGACTATGCTTCATGAAGTATTTGATTGGTTGGAAAAAACTTCAGGACTCCCTGAGGTCGTGACCGGCGTCTAATCAGTGCAAGACTTTGTTTTCTCAGTGATGAGCAGCAGGGTACAGTTCAGGGAGAGTGTGATCAATGAAGGTCAGGTTCAAACAGGCCAGTGCATTTTCCAAATTGGGATTTAGATTGAGAATGTTGAACTGTCAAGTCAAAATGTTTTGGGTTGTGGATCTTTATGTTTAGTGAATGTTTGTAGGAGTTGGTGATGATTTCTGAAAACACTCAGTAGCTGCTTGTTGACATTTTTGTTTAAATGAATGGTAACTGTGATTGGTGACTGAAATGTAACTGGTCTCAGGGAATGGATACACTGGTCACATGAAGAGGCTGGGAGGCAGCCAGGACAGGGAAGTGGTGGAGTAAACTTCACTGATTCGGAGAATGACACATCAGGGAAGCCGTTTGGCCCATCATTCCTGTGCCAAGAATTGGGGCCAGGGTCTTCTGCTCTTTAGCTCAGAGCATGGTTCAGGACTTAGATCTGACCCCACTCTGACTGCCAGCCAATTAGGAGGCTACCTATGGTATCACCACCCATCTAAGGATGGGGCTAGTGAGGGGGGGTGTGGGTCCCTGAGGTTGGGAAATCTAATCAAGGGGCCTGAACTTTTCGAAAGAGACAGCTCCACTTGCCACTTGTAAGTGACTTAGCTGTCACAAGGTCACTTCCATCTTGAGGCAGCCCCTGACAAAGTTGGCATCTGATTAAGGCTTGATACCATTGTTTTAGTTGAGTTACGGTTAGGGTTAGGGTTAGGGTTAGGGTTAGGGTTAGGGTTAGGGTTAGGGTTAGTGTTAGTGTTAGTTGGAGTGAGTGGGGAGGTGGAGAGGTGGTTGGTGATCTTAGGAAGCCTAGCCAAGACCTTAGGCCAGCCGCTGACAAGCTGCCTCCAGGTCCCTACCGGGGCATGGCCTCAGGAAGAGGCCTCACATGCTCAATTAGCCTCCATGAGCTTGTTAGTTGATAGATCTTCACCACAACATGGGCAGGTAATTTTTCTGCAGGTGATGACCCAGTGTTGGGTCATCGACCCAGGAACACTTTGGTCCGTTGACCAAAAACCAAGTCCTGTGAAATTTCTCCCAAACCCACCTACAATATCAAGAAAGATTCCATGCTGATCAAACAAATCTAATTAGTCCCAGTATTCCAGTAGCTCTTCCTTCATAGCCCTGCCATTGGTTTTCCTTTGAACATCTTTGCAGGTCCCTTTTTGAAGATCACCATTATATCTGTTTCCACCTCCCTTTCACATGCTTCATTCCAGATTGCGACAAACTACACTTCTCCTCTTCACCGCTTTGATTCTTTTTCCATAAATCTGTGTCCTCTGTTCATTGCACTACTGCCAGTGGGAAACTGTTTCTTTCTTTCCACTGGTTAGCATTGACGAGTTGGACTGAAGGATCTGTTTCCACGCTGTACAATTCTAAAACCTCGGCTGTTTTTGAATAAATCCATTAAAACTCTGCTCAATTTTCCCTGCTCCAAGGAGAATCATCTCAGGTTTTCTGGTCCAGAGTGAATGTAAAAGGTAAAGTTTCTATAATCCCAGAGGATTACATTCTCATTAGAGAGAGGTGACTGGAGTTGATTTAACCTGATGGGCACCACACCTTAGGCGAAGGGAGAGGTTGAGTCCTTCATGGTAACTTCAACTGGTGCAAAACTTGAATCCATGCTGTTGGTGTCCCTCTTTATTGCAAACCAGCTGTCCAGCCAACTAAGCTGACAACACCCCCAAAGTAAATGCAACAGAATGACCCATAATACATGGGACCCCCGATTTATGAATGCACATACTTACGAATGTGATCCCATACAGGATTGTAATTTTAAAGATCTGACATACAAACTTTTCCTGTACTTACGAAAGGCTACTTTATATTGTCCTGCATTGTGTCCTGACTTGAGTACAAATCAACTTGTGAATGGACTCAAGATGGAACCCATTTGCAACCCAGGGATTGCTTGTACAGAAGTCAAGTGCTATCAAGGATAACTTTGTACTGCAAGATATTATTGCACTACAACTCCTACAGATACAAAGTCAGGAATCACACGACACCAGGTTATAGTCCAACAGGTTTATTTGAAATCACAAGCTTTCAGAACGCAGCCCCTTTGTCAGGTGCGCCTTGTGTGATTTCAACTAAACCTGTTGGACTATAACCTGGTGTCGTGTGATTCCTGACTTCTCACCTCAGTCCAACACCAGCACCTCCACATCATCGTACAGAGGTATGCAATCTCCTGTGGTCCCTGCTCAAACTCCTGACTCTGTTATATCTCAAACAAATTAAGAAAGCAGGGAGAACCAAATGATTAGCTTTGCAGAGGTAGGGCTCATCTGAATGATGGATTATTTTTTAAATTATTTGCAGGATGTAGGTGTTATGCATTCCAAATGAATAATTGCCTCTAGCAGGATGGTGCTGAATGTCTTTCTGGACTGTTTCAGAGGAGAGTTAAGAGTCTATTATATTACTGTAGGGTTAGAATCACAGACTGCGTTAGATCTTTCCTAGAGGACATCAGTGAAGACTCTTTTTCTAACAATGCAGCAGTTTCAGTGATAATTAACTTACTGTAGAAAAATGTAACTAATCAGGTTACGCAGCTGCTCACAAAGGATTAAAACGAAGTATAATAATTGTTTAGTTCAGGTATCTAGATGACTAGCTAAGTACCTGAACCATGAGGCTGCCATATCAATAAATAACCCATTTTGGAACAGATTGAGGTATCACTCATATAGTAACTGATGGCTCCTTTTCGAGAATATGATCATTAGTATAGGATACAGTATTTATAATGTACAGTAATATTGTGTTGGTAAACAAGTACATACTTGTTAATAGCAGTAATTAAAGTGAGGTGATTTCATACAGGAACACACTTGTTAAAATGAAGAAAATACAATAAATCCAACTGTACTATGTTGATATCTTCTCTCTCCCATCCATTTATAAATCCTTTGACTCATTCTTTAAGGATAACCTTTTGTAATCAGGTTTTCCATTTTAGTATCATATCATCTTCAAGTTCTTAAGAAACATTAGAAACATAGAAAACAGGAGCAGAAATAGGCCTTTTGGCCCTTCGAGCCTGCTCTGCCATTCAAAATGATCATGGCTGATCATCCAACTCCATATCCTGCTCCCATTTTCTCCCCATATCTTTTGATCCCTTTAGTCCTAAGAACTATATCTAACTCCATCTTGAAAATATACAACGTTTTGGCCTGAACCACTTTCTATGGTAGTGAATAGCACAGGTTCACCTCATCTCAGTCCTAACTGGTCCACACCGTATCCTTAGACAGTGACTTTTGGTTCTGGACTCCCTGGTCATTGGGAACGTCCTTCCTGCATCTAATCCTGTTAGAATTTTATAGGTTTTTATGAGATCTCCACTCATTCTTCTAAATTCCAGAGGACGATGTCCTGACTGATCGAGCCTCTCTTCATACCTCAGTGCTGCCATTCCAGGAATCAGTCTGGTAAACCTTTGCTGCATTCCCTCTATGGGAAGAACATCCTTCCTCAGATAAGGAGATCAAAACTGCACACAATATTCCAAATGTGATCTTATCAAGGCTCTGTACAATTGCAGCAAGACATCCCTGCTCCTGTACTTGAATGCTTTTGCTATGAAGGCCAGTTTACCACGGTGGCTTGGCATTTAGCACTGCTGCCTCACAGCACCCGGGACCCAGGTTCAATCCCAGCCTTGGGCAACTGTCTGTGTGGATGTTCTCCCCATGTCCGCGTGGGTTTCCTCAGGGTGCTCTGGTTTCTTCACACAATCCAAAGATGTGCAAGTTAGGTGGATTGGCCATACTAAATTGCCCCATAGAGGCCTGGGATGTGTAGGTTAGATGTGTTAGCCATGGGGAAATATTGGGTGGGGGATTGGTCCGTGTGTGATGCCCTTCAGAGGGTTGGTGTGGACTTGTTGGGCCAAATAGCCTGTTTTCACACTGTTGAGATTCTAAAATACCATTTGCCTTCTTCTCTGCCTGCTGCACCTGCATGCTTACTTTCAGCGACTAGTGTGCAATGACACCCAG